AAATGATCTTTTATTTCTATGCGGCATGGAAGAAGTACCAGCTGCTGAAACATCATTCGTAATAAGTGCAAAGAAGATAAAACGCAGCAAACGAAATGATGCAAAATAAATAAAGTACGGTAGGTGCTCAATTACAACGGAGCTGCGACCTGCTCGAATGGCCTTTTAGCAACTAGATGTAAGGGGACAGTTCAGTATTTCGTGAAATCTGGTCTTGGAGGAGTCATTAGCAATTTGACAAGCTCGGCCGTACGAACAGCTTGTAATGTTGCGTTCTACTATTGCAATCAGATGTAGAGTCTCGAACAGAGTTCTATGAGTCATCGACTATTGAATTTCTGAAAAAAATATTGATCGATCATGAACCCTGTAAGCTCTTGGTAAAAGTTATGATACACTGAAAGAATCTACTCCTCCACAAGTGCAATCAGATTATTGATCAATGCCGACGTTGGACGTGTTTCACGCACTTTCTTCAAGGCAGATAGGTGGGTGAGCTTCATAAGTCCTATCTTTCAACCTGGAGAAGATGGGTAACTGGGAAAGAACGTGAACACGTGGTTACAAAACACATGGAATGAAAACAAAGCTTCACACCAATCATGTCAGGAACCAATATAAAAGGCCTCTGGGTTAGCGCAGCACGCAGCACATGGTCAGAGTCCATCGGCATCATCAAAGAAAGACATTGACTGAACAAGCGTGGGATTATTGTGCAATATCTTTAGTAACTGACTTGTTCTACCACTGAAAAATAAAATTTCTTGAAGTTATATTCAATTAGTAAACAACTTACAAAAGCATAAGTCATTCAGTCCTACGACAATGTCAATCCATGACGGAGTATTTAAACTGTGCGCATATCGGATGAACCTCCTCGCCCCTGACGACAGAAACTTACTTAACCTTCTGTATGGACCAAAAGCTAGCCTTCTGGCTTACAAGGTAAGAACTGCTGCCGATGGCAAGAAAAACTTCCGAAGCTCATCTATCAATCTGCCAACCGATGGCAAAGCGAGACACGAGCCTAGGATCAAATTACTGGCACTTCATATAAATATACTTAATTTTTTGGGCGGTTTTCACTATGATCACCAGCGAATAACCCAAATATTCAATATTTAACTATAGCACATGAAATATGATTTTTTGATTTCGATTCAAGGTTAAGTTTCTGTCTGCCTTACACATTCTTCCACTAGAAACAATTTTAAACTTTCTCAACCAGAATGGAGTTGTGTTTCCAATCAAGATTGTCCTTTCTATAAACAATAGTGAGAAATTCTATCGAGCAGTAGCAAAATATAATGCAGGACCGGGCACCAGTCGCGAAAGTGGCGCCAGAAAGGAACTCAAGCACGCAACTGTGGCTACGTATATCAAATAGTCGACCACATCGTCAACCAGCATGACTCAAGAAACTTCGAGAAAGGAATAGGCGCATTCCATGCTACCTGCGTGGAAAACTGATTCCATTTCCATTGCCTGACTGTCCAAATTAGATCTCAATTAATAGCCGTTGCTTCCACGCGTAAGTAGAGTTTCTGCACGAAGCCTTCATGCTCTATATATTAATGAATCTTTAAAAAAAACTTCTCTAATTTCTGAAAGATGCATTTTTGCATAAGCAAACAAATCGAATCTTATTAATCACTGGATCAAGGAGCAAATAACAAAATGAAACTATACACAACACAACTTACACTTATTCTGCCATAGACGATGTCAATGAAGCTGCCCAGAACAATAATGAAGTCGAACACGTTCCAAGCGTCGCCAAAGTAATTATAAAATTTAACGATATTTAATACGCATGAAGCAGAAGCGTTAATAAAAATTACCACCAACGTGAAGGCGATCACTTTAAGGATAAACTCGGTCGCAAACATTGAGGTGAATATAAAATTCAGAATGTCCAGAACTTCGTCAAACTTCGGGTTAGACTGGTAATGCTAATAGACGACCAAAGGTAGTGAACGGTTCTCGTTACCTATGTATTTAGGTTTTAAGCTTACCTTCATAGCGAGAACAAGAGTGTTCAGAATGATGATAGCCAATATGACGTACTCGAAATAGCTGGAGGTGACAAAAAGCCAGATTTTGTACCTCAGTCTCGTGTTAGGTATGTACCTCTGTTGAGGCTTGGCTGTCAGCGCGAACTCGATGCATTTTCGCTATAAATGCATTGATAACAATATAATTTATTTAAGTGTCTTGATTATAATTGCAAAAGATAGCAACTCATGATTGAATAATTAATTAGTGCGTTGGTAGTCACACCGAAAACAGCATAAACACGGTATACTCATACGCAACTCAAACAACCTGGCCAATCGGATGATGATCGATGGAAACGTGTCGGACCGTACCGCAGGGCGGTCTATTACGATTCGGCGCTGATCGATAGTCGCTACGAATGCGCAGTTCTTTGGCCTGAGTTTGAACGTATATGGTGGTCATCTGGATTAAGTATAATATCTAACCCACAATGTTACATATCTGTAAGAAGCTATCCATCAGTACAATGTAAAACTGTTGCCAAACTAATGATGGTGTTATATATTGCGTACAGAACTTTAGTTAGTTTATATATGATCTTGTTGTTCTTCCAAAAAATTTGACTT